CAGAACCAATTTTTTCAGCAATGTTCTGACCAATATGCTTCACCTCAATCAATCTCAACCCAATTACCTTTTTCTGTAGCTCCTAGTCAGCACTCACAAAATGAGCAACTACACTGATGTAGTCCTCCTTAGCATTACCAGACCAAATGTCAGATGTCAAACCAACAGATGAAGCACCACGCAAAATATGATTCTTAAGCATATTACGACGTTCAGTGAATAACTTACTTAGGTCTCTAGTGGTGGCCTGCCGGGAGACCCTAGTAAAAATAGGGTTATGAGCACGTTGAATGTACTCCTCCCATGCATCAGTGTCACCAATACCTAAGGGAAGATAAAGCCTAGCAATCAAGCGACACAGCTCCTGTCTAGCTACATCAGGTTTATAGTCCCAGTTGCGCAAACCATCAGGATTAAGCGCAAGCCTAGACTGAACAGCAGCACATCGATTAGTTTTTTCCATATATGATTTCTGGTGCCTCTTCAAGTGCCCAGTTCTAGAAACAGATCTAGCAGACAAAGTAGCCTTACACATTTTGCAAACACCTTTAGTGCAAATTCTACTGTCGTTCACATCCTCATAGATCTCATCAAAGTCAACCCAGACAGGAGATTTGCGCTTACCAACTCTGGTTGCATTACCAGAAACAAATGGAGCAGAGCTGTTGGTGTTGGAGTCAGTCCCAGCCGTCGTCCAGATCGATCGGAGCCTGGCTGGCTCCGAGATCGACACCGAACAAGGCAATTGCGTCCTCTCGGAGGTCGTCGTCGTCCTCGCCCTCGGGGGCCATGCCCGATAGGACGGCATCGTCATCCGCCATGGCAGTGACCGCTCCGGCCCCGTTCCACTATGGTGTGGGTGGCCGCCGAGCTCGCTCTACGCCTCTGCTAGAAGAGGAAGCATCGGCTACCGACCTACAGATCAAGAAACACATCAGATGACAGAATCAGATCAAGAAAGAAGATGCTAGGGTTAGGGTTTACCTGCGCAACCGGAGCCCGGTGCCGGAGAAGACGACGACCCCCGTAGAGAAGATGACACACCGTTAGCAAGGACGACGAGCGACGAAGGAGGGACGATACTGATAGGAACACGAACTCACATATCACCAAGAGGGGAAGGGAGAGGGGGAGAGGAAGGAGATCAGGGAGGAGAAGGGAAAGGCTGGCCGGCAGCGGAAGGCAGATCGTCGGACGCCGAGGAGACGCTGGAGTGGCCGTGATCACCAGATCAGAATCAGGCCGCCTCGAACGCTGTGGCCGAGCAGGTCGCTTGGTTGCAGCGGCTTATTGATCTTAGAGTGGAGGAAGTTCACTGCTCTCTCCAGATTGGTCTAAGACTGAATCTACGAGGAGCTGACATTCCGCTAAGCGGTCTGTGATCCAATCGATGGATATGATCAGATCATCATTGATCATTGTATTATGAGAGATTGGTTGAAAACGAGGGGGTCCTTACCCGCCTTATATAACCCGGGGGTAGGGTTACAGGTCGGTTATTTCTATCCTGATCGATTTACAAGATAGGAATTACAGAGATTGCGGAATCTAGCATATCCGAACAGATCATCCTTAATCGCCAAGGATCTTCACGCAGTCTTGCGAGGCACGCTAACCTGTGTCGTGCTCCGCGCGGCGTAGTCTTACGGGCTAGACCTCACCTGGTGGCTCGGCCCATGTACATCCCTGTGGTATCGGGGGTTATACCCCACAGCCGTGGAGGCCTTCCCCTGTCGCTACCTTGGCATTCCCCTGACTGTAAAAAGGCTTCTCCGTTCCGATGAACAACCTATCATTGATGCAGTTTCAAACCGAATTCAACTTGGAAGGGGAATCTCCTAAATTTAGCCGGTCATGCTACTTTGGTCTCGGCTACTCTCTCAGCGATCCCTGTCTACATCTCCATCGTAGTCTGCCTATCGCCTTGGACGATTGACTATATCGATCGAAGACGTCGGGCGTTCCTCTAGGCTAGTGCACAGACGATTGCTGGAGGAAAATGCAAAGTGGCGTGGCGCCTGGTTTGCATCCCCAAGGTTCTGGGAGGGATTGGAATTGTGGACCTACGTTGTCTCAGGATCGCTCTTCGTTTGAGATGGGATTGGCTTCGGCGCTCGGACCCGGCTAGATCTTGGCATGCGTTGCCATCACAGCCAGAACGGGCTATCCGGGCATTCTTCCAGGTCGCAGTTCACGTCGTGGTGGGCAAAGGTTCCAATACGCTCTTTTGGACAGATCGGTGGATCAATGGTCACTTTATTGGACATCACTACCGGAGACCGGTTCTTTGCCGAGTGCCAAGTGGTTTGCTGAGTGTTGTTTTACGGGCACTCGGCAAAGACGCCTTTGCCGAGCGTTTTTTTGACATTCGGCAAAGAAGTTCTTTGCCGAGTGTTTTTTTTGACACTCGGCAAAGAAGCTCTTTGCCGAGTGTTTTTTTGACACTCGGCAAAGAAAATTTCAAAGCACATTTTGAGGCAGTAAATTAATTCAAATGAAAAAGTTTTCAACTACAAAGTTGTATAACTCATCAAGATGTACAATGTTTGTTTTGGTCTTTTCTTCATATGACAAAGTAAAAATAAATTTGTTCACAAATCTAACATATATCTCTCGTAGTTTATGAAACTACAAGAGAGATATATAAGATTTGTGAATAATGTTAGAACGACCATGTCGGATGAATAGATGACCAAACAACCAATATAAACTTTGTAGATCTCAAAAAGTTATGAAACTTTGTAATTGACAACTTTTTGATTTGAAATCATCTTGTCATGCAAAACTGTGTTTGAATTTCAAAATTTTAAAATTCGAACTTTTCAAACGACCTCGGATGGAAAAACAACCAAAATAAACTTTGTAGATGTCGAAAAGTTATGAAACATTGTAGTTGGCAACTTTTTGATTTGAAATCATCTTGTCATGCAAAACTGCATTTGAATTTCAAAATTTTAAAATTCAAATTTTGTAAACGACCTCGGATGGAAAAACTTCCTAAACTAAAAGTGTAGATCTCGAAAAGTTATGAAACTTTATATTTTACAAGTTTTTTATTTGAATTCGTTTAGGGCCTCAAACAAGCAATTTACACTCGGTTTAGTATAATATATTGGGAACTAAAACGAAATCCATACACAAGTGAAAGTGTGGTGTAGTGGTAGAGGAGGTTGGTGCGTAGGGGGAGATCGCGGGTTCGAATCCCGCCGGCCGCGTATACGCGAATTTTATGGGAAAAATGCCGAAGATGGGTGGGTGCTGGCCGGTTGGGCCCTCCACCGATTAAAAAAATTATTTTTTTGGGTAAAAATTCCCATTTTTTCGGGTTTTTTTTCGGTTCCAACTTTGCCGAGTGTCGGGCACAAGGCAAAGGCTTTGCCGAGTGCCCGACAAAAGACACTCGGCAAAGACGCCTTTGCCGACGCATTTTTTGCCGAGTGGTCTTTGCCGAGTGCAGCACTCGGCAAAGCCTTTGCCGAGTGCAAATTGGGCTTTGCCGAGTGCCCCTGGCACTCGGCAAAGCCACTGAGTCTGGTAGTGCATATTGCACCTTCCCTCTTGGCGGCGGTACCGACTAGGCTGAGGCGCCGAACGGTCAGCTCGGCGCTGCCCAACAGAGCTTGGGTCACAGACATAAGAGGGGCGCCGACGGTCCAGGTGATCTTGTGCTACTTGCACGTCTACGAACTGTTGCAAGGATTCCAGCTGCAGCTGGCTGTACAGGATCGATTCTGTTGGCGTTTCAGCGCAGATGGAGGTTTACTCAGCATCATCGGCTTACAAGGCGATGTTTATAGGCTTGGTCAGGCTTCGGGGGGCAAAGCAGCTGTGGAAGGCCTCTGCCCCGCCAAAGATCAAATTCTTTTTCTTGCTGGCAATTCACAACAGGTGTTGGACGGCAAGTCGCAGGAAGAAGAGGGGGTTGCAGGACTGTGACCTTTGCGCACTTTGCCACCAAGCCCAGGAAACAATGGATCATCTGCTGGTACATTGCGTCTACACGCGGTAGGTTTGGGCCAGATTGCGTGCTGCCATTTCTCTTGTGCAGCCTGTACACGACCAGCCTACGGCCGTTGATCAGCGGCTTGTTGAGAGGAAGCTGCTGCCGAAGGATCACCGTAGAGGCTTCTATGCGTTGTTCTTGCTGGTCTCCTGGCTCATCTGGAAGGAGCGCAACAGCCGGGTGTTTGATAGGTTTGCTACCATGCCAGCTTGGCTTCTACCAAAGATCTATGATGAATGCAATGCTTGGGTAGCGGCAGGGTCCAGGAGAATTGCCCCCTTGGTTGCTTCCTGGTCGCAAAATGGTTTAGTGTAATAGCGTCCTTCTGATTCTTACCGCTTTTCATTTCTCTTCAGTTTGACCTTTGTGTTGCAAGCCGTGGATTGTGTTCTGTAATCGTTTTGCTACCCTCTTAATGAAAAACGGGCTCAGTTGAGCGCGGTCACGAAAAAAAAGATATTTAATTTCTCCTATTATAATGACTATATTTGAATATCACCCATTAACTTAGCAGCATAATTATACTAGTTTGCTAATTTGTTGTAGACATTTATTTTAGTCTCTGGAACCATGTTTGTCCAGTCTGGTAAATGCATTCTCTGGTAGTGTTTCTGCGTCAAAGAATATAAACACGTGAAAAACCTTACATATGCAGTTTTGATGAGTCTAGCTAGTTAAACCCCTCTTATGACGTCACGTTGGTAGTCAACAGTACTACACTCCCATTCTATCTTAAAGGGTTAAAATGCCCATGTTAAAAACAGAAAAAAAGCAAAGATTTATCGAAATAATATCAGTAGCTTTGACAATGTGGTCTACCGTATACCAAGGGAGCAAGCGCTCGGTACTCTTATTACAACATTTATATGACATATGAGCTAGCTTATTACTATATATGTTGCAACCTCTACTAGCGCTAGATAGTAATCGATCTGAAAACAGAAATACAGATAACCTCAACAATGCACACACAGATAATAGTACGTACGTTACATATCTAGTTGCCTTTCCAAGACGACAGTGGAGGCGTCTCTGAGTCTCTCCAGGTGTTGAGGAAGGTGCTGTGGTAGCGGTCACCGTGGACGCCATCCATGGCAGCATAGGACTCGAGCTCCGCCATCTCATCCGGCGTGAGCTTCACCGACAGCGCTCCCAGGTTCTGGTTGAAGTTGTCTATCTTTGTGGTTCCAGGTATGGGGCAGACATCGCTTCCCTGATGGTGAACCCAGGCCAACGCGAGCTGCGATGATGTGCAGCCTTTCCTTGCAGCCATCTGGCTCACGCGCTCGAATATCAGCGCGTTCTTCTCCATGTTCTCTGGCTGGAATCTTGGTAGATTCTGAAAGATGATCATATCGAATGGTGGCATTACATTCAGTACAGGATGAAGCACAATATGTAGTCTCTTGGAGTTTGGTGGATCATTGATAGGAATGTAATAATAGGATAGGATGAGTCACCGCACCTTGCGGAAATCGTCATCCGGCAGCTCAGTAACAAGTTTGGCACCGCTGGAGAAGAACCCTCTGCCTAATGGACTGTATGCCACGATCCCAATTCCAAGTTCTCTGAAAATTGACAGAAGAGACAGAGCAGCATTATGTATGTACTATTTGGCTTCTGATCCATCCCCAACAAACCGGGTTTTCCATTCCTAGGTACCACAGCAAACAGCGTGGGGATATATATGTACCTGCAGGTTGGGATTATATCTTGTTCAGCATCTCTTGTCCAGAGAGACCACTCCAGCTGGACGGCGGTGATCGGATGAACTGCGTGCGCTCTTCTGATCGTTGATGCCGACGCTTCCGATAGCCCGATGTATTTGATCTTGCCTTCTTCTACCAACTTCTTGAGCTCACCCATCTATGCATACATACATATCAAATTCAAAGTTCAGAGAATGCAACTATTAGCTGAATTTCAAAAAAACACGTATTAGTGCAACTTGTCAACGCAAGAATAATGCAATGCAAGTACGTGCTCCTACGCAACAGACTAACTCACCGTGACCTCGACGGGCACCTTGGTGTCGATGCGATGCTGATAGTAGAGGTCGATGCAGTCGACGCCGAGCCGCCGGAGGCTGCCCTCGCACGCCGCCCGCACGTATGCCGGGTCGCCGCGGACCGCCCTCACGTCGGGCGTGATGCCGAACTTGGTGGCCACCTGCACCTTCTCCCGCGCGCCATGCAGGTGCAGCGCCTTGCCGATGAGAACCTCGTTGGTGTGCGGGCCGTAGACGTCGGAGGTGTCGAGGAAAGTGACCCCGGCCGCGATGGCATGGCGGAGGAGCGTCACCATGTCGGCCTCGGGCTTGCGCTCGCCATACGCCATGGACATGCCCATGCAGCCCAGGCCCTGCGCCGAGACCTCCAGCCCCTGCGAGCCCAGCTTCATCGTGCGCGGCCGCGGCGGCAGAACACACGCCGGATCAGCTGCTGCGGCCATTGCTGATTTAATTGCTGGACTGGACTCTGCCGAGGCTGTTGCTGTGGTAGGAGTAGTGCGGTTGTTGTCGCGTTCCCGTGCACGGCTATTTGTACTTGCAGTAGAACCCTGCAGCTAGCTGGCGTCACGGAGTGTGTCAGATGTGCTACGTGTACTGTACGGGACGAAATTGGTCAGAAACCGTTTGTGCAAAAGGCCGTAGCACTGCCTCCTGTACTGCGTGTATGTTGATCATGAAAAAGGCAGCTGGCGTAATCGCTTAGGTCATGCCACTCAACTGGAACTGCAAAAGTTATCCACGGTTAAGAAAAGACACTAGCTACTACAGGAACGAATGACTTTTACAAATGGTCATATTTGATTTGATTGGTAGAAGTGAGGGTATTTTAAGGAGCACTAAGTAATGCGACTCATCGTCTCTATAAATCATTTCAGTAATCCAAAAAATGAAAATCGGCAGCAAAGAAGTAGTAAGGTATGTGTACCTTTGTGGTGTGCTGTCAGTAGTAATTTTCTTATGTCCAGAAAACATAGTTAGAGTTCAGCACTGAATTTATATTACATCAATTTGCATGTTTTAATTGTTTCATGGGGTATACATATCTCACCATGTGGGCTAAACCTTAATTTTCTGCCAAGTTTGGCCCCCCTTTATTTTTCTACCAATTTTTCTGCCCCTTACTTTTTAAATGAAAGTTGTAGATCTTATTGAGAGCTCTAACTTTGATATAAAAAGTACCTTCATTTGACACTATACAAAAACGATATTATTTTTCTAATGCGACAAGCGCTGTTACGCGATTATTATGCTACTGAAATTTTTATGAAAACTCAAAATTATAAAATTGTATATCTCATTGAGAACTACAACTTTGATGTAAAAAACATTTCCATTTGACACAGTACAAAAAAGATATTATTTGTCTAATGTGACAAGCACCAGTACGTGGTTATTATGCTCCTGAAATTTTATATTATTTTTTTTGAGCATCTTAACGTCCTCAAATGAAAAACTCAAAACTATAAAGTTGTAGATCCCATCGAAAGCTACGTTTTTATATAAATTTTATATTCAGCCGACGCCATTCAAAGAGTTAAGATTTTTCAAATGTTCGGTCTTGTCACGCCACTCCCGGTTGCGCGACAGAACAATACTGTCACGCCAGCGGGAGTGGCGTGATAGCGTTTTCTACGTCGAAAACGTCGTCTAACGTGGCGGATGTTGCCGTGCCAATGCATGTGGCGCGACAACGTTATTTGGTCATGCCAGCGGCGACCAAAAGGGTCATATCCGTATTTTTTTAGGAGTGATTATTATTAAAATATTGAATAAAAAAGGATTAAAAATAAAAAAATATCCTAATACTGGTGGTACTAGATAGTGGATCCTTGCATGTGGATCAACATGAAGGGATCTAGATGGATTCCATCACCAATACGTTGTTGACTCGGTAGGGTGCTTGTTTGGGCGCATCCCGTGGTGCCAACTGATGTCTAGCTACGCCTCATTTTAAAAAATTAAAAAGCAAAATCCCATCGGCAAGGCCGTTTTGGAGCCCACCGGCGAGACCGCCTGCTCTGTGCGGCCCTACTGCCCCCGTCGATGTTGGGATCCGGCCACCACGCGCGCCGCCGCCACTGGATCCGGTGTCCCCGCACCGCGCCACCACTAGAGGAAAGAGAGAGGGTGTGCCACGCCAGAGGGAGGAGAGAGGGGGCTCCCCGCGCTGTGCCATTGCTGGTTCTGGTGTCCCTGTGCCGCGCCCTCGCTGGAGGGAGGAGAGAGGGTGCCGCGTCGGAGGGAGGAGAGAGGGTGCTCCCCACGCTATGCCGGAGGAGGAGGGGGGCGGACTGCTGTGCTGGAGCGTGCAAGGGAGAGGGAGAAGTGATGCAGGGAGAGATAGCTGAGGGAGGGAGAAACGACTGAGGGAGGGAGAAGTGAGAGAGAGTTGGAGAGGTGAGGTGAAACCCTAACTCCTATATATATAAGCCTGATTGGTAGGCCTTTGCTCGGCCTCCTATATATTTTCCCAGGCAGGCCTTTTAAGAGGTTTGCCTCCAAAAATGGAGCTATTTTTGGAGGCGGTGAAAGCCCTAGTTTGGTTTTGGATAATTGATGAAACCCTATGACTAATTCTTATACTAAGTGTGTAGACATGAAAGGATGGTCCTATGCCAAGTGGTGGAGCTAGATGAGGTCCATGGAGATGAAGATGGACATGTGATGATGGTGATCAAGCTTGAATTTGGAAAAAAAGAAAGAGAAAAACAAAAACCAAGGAGATCAAGGAAAAGGTATAAGATAGTTTTTTGTTTTGGTGATCAAGACACTATAGAGAATGTGATCACATTTAGGATCGATATCCATACTATAAAGAGGGGAAATCTTTTGGCTAAGCGGTTATCGAGTGCCACTAGATGACATGATTCTTACATATCCATTTAGGAACCTAGTGTGCTAACTTTGACCCTTGAGAAATGCTTTGGAAAATGCTAACACACGTGCACACAAGTTCTACACTTTGTGGTTAGCAAGTTGGAAGCAAGGGTGAAGCGGTTGAGGAGTTAGAAAAAGAAAAGGAGGAGTTGGGGTAGGACCAGATGCAGGCTTCAGGGTGGACCTCCACGTCCGCTGCCTTACCCTAGGTCTCAGTCAGTGGTGGCACTGACCGGACGCTGGGATCAGACTCGGGCGCTAAGTTCGGTCAGTTGGCATAGAGGAGAAACAACACGTGGTGGCGAGCGGACGCTGGTGGCAGCGCGTGACTGGACACGCAGGGGCTGCATCAGGTCCACACTAATGTACGCTAGCATCAGCATCTTAGGCGCGCATAGTAGAGCAGAGTGAGGACCAAACACTGAGGCGAATTAGGTCGACGTTGATCGGATGCGTCCAATGAATAAATTTCGTCTCTAGACCCTTACTGGACTCGACCCGACTCTACGTTGCCCCTGAGTCTGGTCTCTTTGAGCAGTGCGTTTGGTCTAACTTTAACTACGTGAGCGAAACCTTTTGACTGTTGAGATCGGGCGGCTCAGTTTCAAAGGCGTGACATGTGGACGGCCGAGGGCGATCAAACACTGGGGTGCATTCGGTTAGTGCGTCTGGTCAGTCCAAGAGCTTCCAAGGTCTTTTTGAGTCTTGGGGCTCTATCAATAAGAAGGTACCGACTTGGGGCTCACTCTCTTATCACTTTGTCATACTTGACATCCTTGTGAGCCTAAGAAAACACCTCTATTGATGGTAGTTAACAACCATTATAAACTGTCAATAAAACATGTATAAGGGCACAATTGTGATCACCAACAATGGTCTAGTGGTTTAACCTAACAAATTCTATGAGTTTTGGTGAATCTGTATTTTCTGTATGATTTATCTAGAAAACCATCAAAGTAGACCTACATGTCAGAATTAATCGTGCTTATCCACCGTGAAATCAGCACCAGAAGGTTCTAGAGGACTCTAGAGGACACCACACTGAAGCGGGAGCCGAGGGGCTGCTAGGTTGGACCGACTGGCCCCACCTACAGGCCGCCCGGCCCCTGGTGCCACCCGTCAGCCTCCGCCTCGTTATGTGGGTACTCCACCGCCTCCTAAGTTGCATCTACTCTATTATTTAAGTCGGTTTGATCCAAGGGCTCACGATGGATGCCCCGGCCTATATAAACAACCCTATACCCCCTCCCTCAGCAGATCCCTGAAACCCTAATTCATATCTTTAGGCTTAGAGCCAGCAATCAAGAGAAGATTAGTCCTCCATAGGATCTAGTCTTATAAATAGAATAGTGAGATAGAGAGTGAGGGAAGAGTTTGGAGGAGGTGCCGGCCTGTTGGTGCTCTCTCTATGGCTTGTACCTTGGCGGATCCAAGTTCTACTTGAGCTTGCTTTCAAGATTTCTCTGGTAATCAACTTCTGATTCAAGTAAGTAATTATTTATATTGTTCATCAGGATCACGACTCTCTTTTGAGTGCTTTAATCTATAGATGCTCTAGGTTAAAGTATTAATTGTAAGTGTAAGCGTGGTGCTTAGACTTGGGTTAATCATGGAGGCCCCCTGCATTCTAAAAGGTGGTAGATCGCATGTGTGACATAAGTTCTATATAGCCTATACTATATAGCTTCGTTGATCCTTTGTAGTCCACCTTCCATCTGTAGGCGCACGTAGGATGCGGTTGCGAAGGAAAGCATCCTCTGCTGTTGTATTTCCCTAGTAATGTCCCCAGTTGAATAATAGAAGACATAAGCTTACCCAAGTCAAAACTAGAGAACCTTAGTTATCCTCTCTACGCTCCTATTTATCCTAACCTTGTTGCTACCCCTAGTTAAGTTAGACTGTAGTTCATCTCACATGTTTCCCTGTGGATACGATACTTGAAATACCTCCGAGTGAAAGCTACAATGGTATCCGTGTGCTTGCGGATTTATCTATGTGCGTTAAAATATACCAACAAGCTTTCTGACGCCGTTGCCGGAGAAATGGTTACTGAATTACCTACAAACCTAGCTTAACTTTTTATCTTTTATTCTTTCTTTTGTTTTACTTTTTCGTTTAGCATGGATTCCACTCCTATCTATCAATATGCTAAACCCACGAGCGCAAGCCTAAAGCCACCAGAATCCTCAGACCCTATCATAACACCTGGTTATGAGCTATGACTGTATTTAATAAAACTGATTCAGGATAAATCCTTTTCGGGAGAAGGAGATGAAAACCCATACTCACACCTATGGTAGTTTGAATAGACCTGTGCATGCCTGCATAACGCTGGCATGCCTGATAAAACCTTAAGATAGAAGTTATTCTCATTCTCTTTGACGGGAAGAGCTAAACAATGGTACAATCTAGCCATAGGAAGTATGCAAGGAGATTGAGAAATATTATGCTCTAAATTTTGTTTACATTTCTTTCCCATCTCTAAGGTAGTCAGCCTTCGAAAAGAGGTTCTAAATTTTAGATAGCTAGAAGAAGAATCTCTTAGTACATCATGGGATCATTT